TGTTTAATAACGATTTAAATCATATTTATTAATCATTACATAAATTTATTCTATAAGGGGCTATTTTAAAAAAGAAAAAAATATTTTTAATGTTTTTGTTTTTTTTTGAACATCCAGTATGGATATCCATTGGATATCCAATGGATATCGTAAAAGGCATGGATGTTATATGGACATTGGGATAGTTATTGGATATCCATTGGATAGCGTGTTCTGTGTGGGTAAACTATAGTATGCAACTTATTAATAAACTTCTCTAGACACTCGTTTTTATTAAACACTCGCTCGCAAGCTACGTTTTAATTAAACTAGTAACTAAAATAGAGTTTATAAACTAAATACATAATATAATATTATCTACTCTCACATTGAAAAGCTGTGACATTATGGCGTTTTAGTCCCGGGCTTATAAATTGGTAAAAAGTGAGGTTAAATTCGTCTGACAACAAATAAAATTGGCTTTAAATTCTTATTTGTGTTCATCGTAGATAAAGTATAGTTTAAAACTCGTTTATGAAGTTTTTTTAGACACTCGCTCGCTAAACTAAACTAAAATGACTATTACAAAACTGGATACATAATTTACTATTTTATTAATATGTAGGTACTAGTAGTTAGTTTAAAATTTGATATTTGATATTTAATATCAAATTATTAAAAACCTCTGTACAAAAATAAAGCTAAAATGTCATTTCAGATGAACCGAAGCTAAAAATGATGTAACAAAATCTTAAACAAATATTCTAATTAACCGCTTGAAAAAAATATAAAACACGGCTACGAAAGCTTACTATTATCTTGCACACAATCTACTGCCTCAGCCATTATATATGCTTTCTCCGCCTGGTCTATATCATGATACACATGTTTGTGTATCGTGGACTATAATATACTATAATAATGTACACAAGTTTGTTTATCCTGGTCTATAATGTATATGTTACGGCTAATGTGTTAACTAAGCAAGTATATCAAATAGCTGCAGCTTGGATAAGTAAACTATAACTAAATTATCGGCTGGTTTACAAAATAACGAAGGATATTTGTTAATTTATTAGGTAAACTAAAATAGCTGGATTGTTTGTACTATCCAATTTAGTTAGGCCAATATAAAAACAAAAATTTCTAGCAACACAAAGTAGCCAATGCTTTAGCTAGTTTGTAAACTAACCAACCAATTGTCCTAAAATGCAAGTAAATGATTTTAATTCTTTATTAATAAAAAAATACAATTTAACCCAACCCAACCTCACTTTTTCAATAAATAAGCGAATTTATTAAAAATGTGAGGTTGGGTTGGGTTGGTTTAAATTTTATTTTTTTATTAATAAAGAATTAAAATCCTTTACTTGCATTTTAATCATGCCCAATTATTGGCCGTATGGCATATTATAATGGTAAGTTTAGAAGAGATGTAATTTATTTAAGCTATAATTATAATTAATAGTGTTTTTAAAAAGTAAAATATATGAATATAAACCCTGCCAAGTCAATACAAAAAATCAGTTATTAATAAATTAGCCGGAATATTGGTTGGTTAGTTTGTAAAGCTTGGCTATTTTGTGTTACTAGATTTTGCTTTTCATATTAGCCAAATTGAATTAACAAATTATTTAGCTATGTATTTTAGTTTTCTAAATAATTTTTAGTAAATTGGTTGGTTTACAAACTAGCCGCTAATTTAGTTAAAAATACATTTTCAATTAAAGTAGCTGACAGTTTGGCTAGTTTATAAACTTTCCAGTTAGTTTATAAATTATCCAAGTTTGCACATTAGTCGTAACATATTCTTTTCTACGATTTATTATCTACCTACCTATAAATTGTTTCTAATTTATTTAATTTTTTTTATTAATATTTTATTTAATTTTTGTTTGTTTTAAAATAAACTTTTTTTATTTTAATTTGCAACCTTAGTGATTTTGAAATTTAATACATTTTAAATAAAATACTATACTACCAACGGCCTGTAATATCAAAAAAACGTAATATTCTCTTAAAAATGTAAGTGATATTTGTTGGTCATGTTGTTAAACCTCTATCCAAAATTCATTGTTTTATATCAGGGATGACGCGGTTTTTTCCAAGTTATGTTTCGACTAGAAACATCAATTTATACTCAATTTTGGCATGACATACAGAAAAGATTGAATTCTTCGACCCAGTATTTACTAAGTTCTATCATGACTCTTTGTTTAGTCTTGAATTCTTTAAAATATTTCGTGTTATCTAAAAGAGACGCGTTTAAATCATATGAAACTGCAGGCAGGAATTGTCCGATAAACAAAAGGATGAAGGCGTGTGTTTGATCTCTGAATATTGGACTGAGACCTCTAGATTATGGAAAAGCGCCTATTGTACAACCTTTACTGAAAGATAAATTTCAAAAATTGGAAAGCTGGGAATCTCATAGATTCTTATCCAGAAAGCACTATGAAAAGTGTGATACAATTTTTATTGCAGAAATAGCACGCATATATTTATCGATGATGGTGACAAATCGCAGTGGGGAAATATCTTTCTTGAAACTCATGATATTTAAAAACAAATTTCAAATAAAAATGAATCAAGAACTATTGTCGAATCTAATGTTTCTCAGTTTGGAAAGCGATATACTTCGCGATTTAACTGAGTTAAATCCTAACAAAAACTTAATACCTAATCATTAACAAAAAAAAAAGAAGCTATGGAAGTTAAATTAACTTCCATAGCTTTTTTGTTAATGATTAGGTATTAAGTTTTTTTTGTTAACTCGTATTTTATTTTTTTTATTATGTATTTTTTAAGTGTTATTTATTTAATTTGTCCAGTAATTGGAATTTTTTATATTCTGTTGGGCAATAAATTATAATTATTATTATATAAATTTTGATGATATTGTCAACACTTTTGCAAAAATAAATCGAGGGCCTCTGAATTCTAAATGCGGCCCTGCATTACTTATTGTCATCCTGTTTTATATAACTTTATGTTTTATATATTAAATTTTCGGATACAGAAATCGGCAAACGACATAAACGTCGTAAAGTCATCCGAAAGTTTTGAATTATTTGTCGTGCGTAGCCGTTCTTCTTTTGAAATAGTGGCAGATAAATGGAACAAATGGTCTGAGAACGTCGGAAAGATCTTCCACCTTTTATATTTACGTATAAAAATGTTATGTGGCGCTACCAAATTGTTCGTAGAAATACAAGGGGGATTTTTTTAAATAAATTATCCGAAAATTATAGTTTGTTTTTTTAAAAGAAAAAAAAATACACCAAAAAGATAGTCAAATTAAAAATTTATTATAATAAATAAAAACACTTTTAAGTATATCTTCTACTATAAACATTATTAAAAATAAAAATAATTTGTACTTATCAAGTAAGACTTGTTTTTTATTACCTTAGAATATCATATATCCACAAATTATTATTTTTTAAATATCCAAAAGCCAAAAAAATTGAAAAATGTGAAAAATTTAATAAAACAAAATAACATGTTTCATCTTTTAGCTCCCATAAATATCCTTTATATATGGTTTTGACTTAATTAAATTAATATTTATACTTAAATAAATTTGTTTAATGTGTCATTCTCCCTGGCAAATGTTACTGCAATAAAAACCATACTTTAAAAATTTTAATGTCCTATGTGTTTTTTTCTTTCTTGAGATTAGAATATTATTACATATGTTGTCACATTGATCATACGCGCATGTTAGCGAGATAAAATTATATCAAGACTGCTTTTTACAGTGATTCTGAAATATTACGGACATTTAAAGGGCCTCCCCATACTCATTTGCGGGATAAATCGAATTCTATATCTGGTAAGAGATGCATTTTTTAAATTTCTCTTTTTTACTTTGATTCGGATAAATTTATGGAGAGGGATCTTAGAATAATATATTACTGTTGAAGAAAAAGGAAATTATTGGGTCGTTTTTATTATTCGGTTAGTTTAAAAATAGCTTACACCACAAAATAAAAAATAGACCATTGAGATTAGGTTATAAAAAATGTTATAAATAGTATATTAATAGAATAATAATAGAATAATAATAACTATTATTATACGGAATTTTTTTTATTAAATTACGAAAAAAAATTTTTTCCGAACATTTATTGAAAATCTTATTGTAATAGTGAAAATAATTGAAGAAAGGTTAGAAAAGTAAGCTGATTTTTTTTCTAAATTCAAAAATAAAATGTTTTACTACCCTTTCCGTCACTAGTAAAAAAAAACCCATAACGTTAACTTTTGTCACTAAAGACGAAAGTGTCCTGCTAATTTTTACCTCCGTCTAGTTATGTCGCTGTAACGCGTCCTTATTAGGTAACGATTTAAGGGTTGCGTTGTTTTTTTATAGACAATATAAAAGGACAATCGGAAAGGAAAATTATTACGGACCATTGGTCAAAATTATGGTAACTCCCCCCCGCAAAGGTCATATAAAATTGACTGGTTCAAGGGTCATAAAATCTAGTACCAACCTAAAAGGACGAAGGGTTATTGGCTTTAAGATACGTGTTTAGATAGTTCTTAAGGAAGGCGTTACCTTTGACTTAAGTCGAAAACTTGACGAGTGGGTTTTAAACTTTTTAGTCACGGGCTGAAATTTGTTTTATCATAAATTGGAAAAAAGTGAGGTTAAATTCGGGTGACAGTTCGTCGCCTGAGAACCAGGTTATTCTATGTCCATTTTTTTTTAAATTGATATTTTAGTATCAAAGTATTCTATGTCCGAAGCTCTATCGACCAAACTATTCCATGTTACTCTGCGCTAATCCGTTCAGTATTTACAGAGAGTCTAACGTATACTATGTCCATTCAAAGTTTTTAATGTTCGAACCATATTAGTCTATGTCCTTACCAGCCAATAGGATTCAGCCATCTGCACCATGTGAGGACATAGAATAATTTGACATAAATATTTTAGTCAGAACATTTTGAACAACGTTCGTGTTTAGTGTCCGTGTTTACAGTGTTTAAGTCGTGAAAATAAGTTAAAAATAATGAGCGATTCAGAAGAATGCCTTTCGGAACCTTACCAGGACTCAGGATCGGAGTATGAACCAACTACAACGAATAATAAACGAAAAATGTAAGTTATTAATTTCTAAAATATTATAGGTTAGAATGAATTAGAATTTTTATAATTTTTTCAGTATCGATGCAAATAAAGATTCTAGTGTCGATACTGATGGGAGTTCTTGTGATTCCGATTCTTCAATACGTCGCAAAGGTTCAGGTCACAAAAAATGTCACTTTGATAAAAGGCAAAACGAAATTCCTGGGACATCAAGTGCTAGGAATTTAGATAGTCCAAGAAAAACAGACGGTACATCGGTCGAATTAGACGATCGGGATGATATGCCAGACGACGATGATGTTCAAAGGTATTTTAAAACTATTATTACCTAAATTAATGTAATTAATTTTGATTGAGTTTTTATTTTTTAGAACAAAATCCACTAGAAAACGAAAAGCTAACCAGAAAGATTGGAAGAAAAATATAAGAAAAAGGTTACGACAAAGTGGAAAAGAATACAAAAGTTGCCGAGGCCAGGCTGTTGGGGCTAGGGCTTTCAGAAGAAACTGTGTAAACTGTCGCTTTAAATGTCTGGACAATTTCAGTGAAGAAGAAGCAGCGCTAATTCATAATGAATTTTGGACAAATACTGATGACGCGAAAGGACATTTTTACGAGAAAACAACAGAAAGATACCGGGTGGAACGCCAGAGAAACAGAAATGTGAGACAGAGAACCAAGAGTTATTCTTACAAGTATTTTTTCATTAAGAACGAACAGAAAATTCGCGTCTGCAAGAAATTTTACTTGGGAGTCTTAGATATAAGTCAGATCAGAATTGCTTATTTTTACAGCAAAAAGCGAACGGGAATCACAAGTACTCCCAGTCAGTACCAAAGAGGATGCCGCACAGAAAATAGAATTGGTGAGGAGCATAGACAATTAATCAGAGATCACATAAATATGTTCCCTTGTATACCTTCACACTACTGTAGAAGTAACTCCTCCAAAGAATACTTAGAAAGGACACTATCCTTGTCAAAAATGTATGAGCTTTATGTAAAGTGGTGCGAAGAAAAAAAATTAGCTCCATAAAGAAAGTGGCTTTACTACCATATTTTTAACTTTGAATTTAATCTGGGATTCCATGTTCCGAAAAAGGATTTATGCAACGTGTGCACAGAATATAATACAAAAAAAGATGAACAAACATTAAACGAAGATTTAAATAAAAAATACAACGAGCATATAAAAGCTAAGCTAGAAGCTCGCGAAGAAAAAAAACAGGACATAGAAGCCTGTAAGAATGATCCGTCTACAGCTCTACTATGTTTTGATATGCAAAGTGTTCTAACATGTCCACAAACACAGGTTTGAACATCTTATTATAAAAAAAAGTACGCTGTTTATAATTTGACTGGTAATGACGTTGTTAAAAAGACCGGTTATTGCATTTTGTGGCACGAATTATTGGGTGGAAGGAAAGGTGTCGATATTGCAAGTGCTTTGTATGTTCTCCTGGAAAAACTGTTGTCGGATAGGCCTAATGTAACAAAACTGATTTTGTGGTCGGATGCATGCGTGCCCCAGTATAAAAACTCGCACATGTCGGCAGCTCTATTGTATTTTTTAAGTGAGCATCCTAAAATTGAGTGCATTGTTCAAAAATTTCAAGTACCAGGTCATAGCTGTGTCCAGGAAGTTGACGCAATGCATAGTACCCTGGACCGAAATTTAAACAAATTAGAACTCCACAGTCCATTAGCTATTTACAAAGCAAAAAAAAATGTTCGAACAAGAAAGCCGCATCAGATAGTCCAGATGAATAAAAATAAATTTGTGGATTTTAAACCAATATTAAAATCTGCAACTTTGACAACAGTGCCGTACAAAAACTTAGTTCAGATTTCTTATAAGCATAATTCCAGCAGTGTTAAATACAAATTACATTTCTCCGATGAAAATCCTATTGTGGTGGAGTTTTTGAAACGTACAAGACAAAATAACAAACAAGCGTTTTTTGAAAATTTTCCGACGCCTACAGTTCAGCCCCCTCCTCCCAATCTACCAGCAGATAAAATTGAACACATCAGAAGCTTGTCTAATCACTTCTCAGCAGTGGACTTGCAGTTTTGGAGATGCATTATAAACAATTTTTAAGTAGGTACCTATTTCAAATTACTAAGTATTTAAATTATTTTGATACTTCTTTAAAATAAATATGTTACTTAACAATCACCGTTTTTCATTATTAGAAAAAAGGGTTGTGGACATAGAATAATTTATTTTACTACTTAAATTTTTCTGTAAAAATCAATTTATTCTATGTCCGCAACAGATTTTTTTTCCATGATAATTTTTCCTAAACAGTCAAAATTTTTAGTACACGGAAAAAAATCCCTTACTAGGTTTAAGAATAGTTCTATACTTCATGTTAGGAACTTGATTTAAGTATATTTATTATTTCTATGAGATTAGAGTACATTTAAACTAAGTAATGGGATATACTTAATTTTTAAGAAAAACTCTTACTTGATTTGAGATGAGTATTCTTGGATTGAGTTTAAAGGTATTTTATTTTAAAGAATATTGGTATACTTAAATCAAATATACAATAATGCTTAGATGAAAGAGCTCTAGTTTTTTACTCAAAGCGGAATATTTCCACTTATTTTAAGTATTCTGTATATTTGTATGAAATTTCGGTATACTTTATTTAAATATATGTATATTTAATACAAGAACGCTTATACTTCAATTTAAGTATAAGACCTCTAGAACAAAGAAAACACTATACTGTATTTAAGTATAGCTATTATTAAAACAAATACCTAATTCTTCGCTTAAGTAAATACCGTCCACCCTCTAAGACCGCTTCGCTAAAAGAAAAGACGCAGTTTCTGTGTTCAGTTCTATCCCGTGTTCTATGGTGGTAGCGTGTGCTCGTTTTTTCCTTTTTCGGTCTGAATGTTATTTTTAATAAAAAATAATGGAGAAGAAACTTAAAAATTGGGGCTTAGAATGTTTACTAGACACATTTTTGGGTAAGTAAATAATATTTCAGTAATTTAAAGTAATTAACTAGGCATGATCGTAAAAATGTAGTGACAGGTAATAGACAATAGCACATAAACAGCAGAAAGGCTATAGCCTCCAATTCAGCTATATTATTTTTGTTTTAGAAAACGAGATAGATCTCGATATTACGGTAAACCTAAGCGAGGAGAATTTAAAGGAATTAATTCCAAAAATAGGATTGAGAATCAAGGTTAGAGAAAAAATTGAAGAATTAACACCAAACCATCTACGATGATAATGGTAGCCTTCTTAGAGACTCATTTTACAAATTATTTAGCTGATGATAATGGTAGCCTTCTTAGAGACTTATTTTACAAATTATTTAGCTGGAGATAAATTTTACTGACAATAAAAATACCTACTTAAAAAAATAATAACTATTGTGATTAAAAACCTTACCTTTACATATAGCACCAAAAATGTGATACCTAGGTACTTAAAAAAATAAAATGTAAAATATAGTATCTATGTTAATTAACCGTGAAAGAATGAATTTATATAAATTGACAGTACTTTTTCTAATACCTCTAAGACTAATAAACCTATTGTGATATCAGTGCCTATTATACTTAGTACTTTAGTACATTAAAATAATTAAAATAATCTGCCAAAAATAATGTTAAATTACTGTCATAACGATTAAATTTTCACTTTCACTTGTATTTTCACTTTCACTTGTATTTTCCGTATTCGTGACCCTGAAAAATATTTGTATTAATTATCCTACCACTATAGTGGTAGGATAATTAATACAAATATTTTTTAGGGTCACGAATGTTTTTTTTTGTAAAAATTATTCCGAGTCGCAAGACGAGGGAATTTTTTTTTTCAATCAACCACTTTCTTATAAATATACTATACTTTTATCAAATATAAAAAAAGGAAAAGTAAGAATACAAGCATTTTATGTAAGTAAAGCGTGTACTTACAATAAGTATAAATAAATAAATTTTAAAGAAAGTATATTCTTAAAACAAGAATACTGAAAAGATTTTACAAAGAAACTATACTTTGATGAAGTACATAATAACGTTACAACAAGAATACCGTAGTCTTCATTGAAGACAAATTTGTATACTTAACTCAAAATTAGTGTGTTTCTTATTTTTAGTATAGCAGTAATCTTAGATTAAACCGAAGCTATCTTTATTTTATAAGAATATGAGGATACTTGAAACAAGTATAAATTTACTTGCGGAATAGGGAAACTAAGCTATACTTGGATAGAGTTGAATTTTCTTGGAATCAGTATAGATTTTTTTCCGTGTATATTTTCGGGTTTATCTCTTTTATAAACCCTTAAACTAAACTAAATAACAGTTCTCAAAAACAAAATCATTAAGATGAACACAATAGAAGCTGGTAAAATTTAAAAATGCTCTATTGTAAAATTTTAAAAAATGGACATAGGATAACCTGGTTCTCAGGCGACGAGTTGTCAAGTTTTTAACAAATACAATTGGCTTTAAATTCTGTTTTGTGTATGTTGTAGATAAAGTATAGTATGCAACTCGTTTATATTAAAAACTCGCTCGCAAGCTTCGCTCGTGCTTAATTAAACTCGTAACTAAAATGGCGTTTATAAAACTTGATACATATACTATTATCTGCTCCTCTATTGACGAGCTTTGACTTTATGGCGGTTTATTCAAGGGCTGAAGTGGGCAACAGTGGGTTATGGGCTTTTTAGTCACGGGCTGAAGTAAGCTTTATAATATATTGGGAAAAATTGAGGTGAAACCCGGGTGACAGTTAACAGATCTCAAACTTTTACCATATTAAATTTGCTTTAAATTCTGTTTTGTGTTCGTCGCTCGCAAGCTTCGCTCGTGCTTAATTAAACTCGTAGCTAAGATAGCCTTTATAAAACTTGATACATAATATACTATTTTTTATCAGTGTTGAGGAGATCTGCAAATACCCCCCTACTAAAAATCCGTGGATTATTACGATCCTAATTGTTTAAAATAAATGTATTCAAAAAGTCATGTAAATAAACTAACATTTAAATTTAGCGGAAAGTAGAAATGTATTTGACGTACCTAGTGCCGAAAACGATTGGCGTAAACGGGCACTCCTGTTTAGGTGGGAAAAGTAAGGGGGGGAGAAAACGGAATTCGAGTTGAGAAGGGAAGAGCGGAGATCATTGGAGAAGAGTCCGTGCAGAGAACAAGAGGTGTAAATTTGGTGAATTTAAAAGTGTTTAAATTTGTAGGTTTGTACATTTTAATAACTAAATTATTGAAATATAAATATTCTCGAACATTTTGGTATAATTAGTTTACACAAATGGCTTGTGTAAAGATAAATATTCGATCAATTGACTTGGCGTCATCGATTTTCTATTCTGCCATGATGGCTACCGTTTTAATAAACCACACTCGTAATCGACATGAAATAAATTTACGTTTAAACTATCTCGTATTATAATTTAGATTCTAAATAATAAACAATTGGTACTTGATTATATCTAAATAAAATAGCAGGGTTTTACGGAATTTTTTCTAATTTAATGGGCAGGGTCATATTGATTTTTATTTAGCTAAATGTCAGGATTGTACAAGAAGATTACAACAGTGAGTTAATTTAATTATTTTAATAAATACCTATTTTTTAAATGGGATTTACCATAAACGCTTTGTAAATTAAGTTTAATTGATATCGATTTTCTTGAATACGGTATTTAATAAATTGTACTCGCAGATTCAGATTCATGTCCCGTAATTAGTTAAGTAATTTTACCGGTCATATTTAATTATTTGGTATTACTTTTGAAAGTAGCAACAGTAATTGTGTGATAGCGACATTTAATTTATCCCCACTGTCCGTGGAGTCCTAATACAACAAGCCTATTTTGACTTACTATCCTGTAAATTTAACTAAGTGCCGGCCGGTCTGGTTTCATCTGACTGCGCGACGCAGACATTGTTTTTGTTATTTGTGTCATTTTTATAGCCTAGTATTTTATGGTAATTATTAATTTATTAAAGTTTGCCGAAAAATAAGGCATAATAGACAATTGCGAACCCTCAGTTGAAGCGATCTCGAGCCAGAACAGTTTATTGAGCCTGAACTGAATAAATAGTACATGAAAAATTATGAAACAGTAAACTTAAATTCAACAGTAAATAATTATAAAAACTTTATTTAAATGATGGCTTAATGCAGATAGAATACTTGACGGATAAAGTTAAATTTAAAATACAAAAATAGAGATTAAGATTCAATTTACTTTAACAACTCATCAAACAAATAAGCAAACAAACAAAGAAACAAATTAAAATGAAAACGAGGAATACATATGACAGCTAAGCTCTATGGTGTATTATTTATCTAATGGTATACATACATTTATCTATTTATATTATATGTGGGTTGTATTCGCAGTAAGGAGATATTGTGTGGTTTTAAGGGTTTGTAGGATGTCCCTTTCTTTCAGAGTTCTCTTGCAAAAAAAAAGGTTAATTGTCGTTTGGGTTGCGGATATTGTTGTTGCTCTACAAAATAAATATCATTATTGTTTGTTATAAATTTTAAATATTTTATACATTTAACTCTCTCCCATAATCCCTAATTTTGAAAGTATTTATGAGCGATATTTATATACAGGGATGGTAATGGGCTCTTAGGCCGTTTAATAAACAAAGATGCATGCTATATGAAACGTACGAATAAGTGAGATAAACGTATAAATAAGAGAGAAACAACCATTGTTGAACGAATAGGATAACAAAATACTTATTTCCCCTCTGCCATAAGCGTCTGGCCTGCCCCGCCAGTCTTACGTCACTCCCACGTCTCATAATGCATTTGTCTTTATTTATTAAACGGCCTAAGAGCACATTACCATCCCTGTATAAATAAACGGGAGCCTTCAGGGTGTTCAAACGTAATTTATTGTCTTTTATTTACTGTATTTATTATTTCCCTTTTAATACTTTCCCCATGAATACAACACCTCAAAAGTACCTTGTGTTACTAAACTAATGAGCTTTATTACCGTAAGTCTTAATTTTATTTATTTGTCGTAATTTAATATAGCGACAAAAACACACATTTGTTCAATCAACCCAACCGGCAAACTTATGCCGGATCCGGTCGACGTTTAATGATACCGGATTACCGGATCCCGTTTTCCGAATTGCAATCCCTACTAGTAATAATAGAATTTGAACTTAGTTAAAAGCGACCACGACTGTTGCATGCTAAAAATACAACACTGCACTTAATGAGTTTTTCCAGATCACAGATATAATTTTTGACGAAAATGGAGTTAATGACTTTTGCCAGAATAATATATTATATTTCATATCATCACTTTGTCTACCCATAATTAATTAGGTACCACCCTACGGGGAGGTGGCTGTATGTCGAGTTGCAACCTACCTCCCTCCCTCTATTAAAAATTATTAGTTATTAGATTTTTTGTATCTTTGTAGCACTGATTTTTATATTTAAATAGGCGTGGCGTTTTCTTTTTTCTACTTTAACCTTTATTAAACCACATCTAAAAGGGACACCATAAACTTTGCTGGACGCTTCGGTTATAATTTTTACGCATTACTTAACAGCTTGAGTGTGTCATCGTAATTTGCTAATACGAAAAAAGGATTTATTTTTAGTTTAGTACTATTTAATAGTCACTTATTATTTAACCTGTTATTGCTGAAAACCTATATGAAACCAAATTCCGCGAACACAAAGGAACTCAAACCATTCGGCTATGATGTGTAAACGTAAGTACTGACTGGAAGGGTGAAGTACCTAATTAGATTAATTTAAGATCGAATTAAAAACCCCTTTTAATATCTAATTTGGATGCCATATATAAACAAATTACCTTTTTCTACTCCCACCTTTAAAACGCCCTTTACCGTACATGTTTCCATGGCACTAAGTGACCTTTTAAATACACATTGACAAGTTGTGGCTTTATGGCGCTTTAGTCACGGGCTGAAGTTAGCAACAGGTTTTTAGTCACGGACTGAAGTTAGTTTAAAGTTAGTTGACAGTTGTCAAATGTCATACAATCGTTAAAATAAGGTGCCTATCTTGTAAAATAATACTAAATGTAAAAATTATTTTATTATCTCAATACAAAAATACAAAAGTATTAAATAGTTTCTCAACGCCAATATTTGAAAAGTTTATATTTACTGACCTTTTAATTTCGCCGGCAGTAAACTATAACTTAAATTCGGACACGGACTCCACTGTAAAGTGCTCATAAAACATTTTCTTTACTTTCACTTTGAAAAACTGTCAATTTTTAAGAAATACATTTCGATTTATAACCTTTATAGTCTGTGTTTATAAAATAAAAAAAATTGACATTTGACATATTGTTTCATAGATGGCGCTCTATACAAATTTTTGATTTAAATCATTTTAAGATAATAATAAGTACCTATTTGTCATAGAAAAAGTATAGTATGCACCTCGTTTGTAAACTTTTCTATACACTCATACATAATATATACACTTGATACATAATATACTATTATGTTATCTGCTTCAACACTTAATGGACGAAATTTGTTTTTTTGACATCATGCTATTTCACACCTGGACAAAAATTTCAGCCAGCCTATTACCTAAAGTAAATATTTTAAGTTTAGATCAGCAAAAATTATATTAAATCTGTTGTGCTATTAAATATGACTGCTCTTATGAGGTTTAATATATGTATATGTATTGACTCTCTAATGGTTTTCCCTAAATGTATACATTTAGGGAAAACCATTAGAGAGTCAATACACCACCTGGAAAATATTCTGAAAAGTATAATTTCTGATTAGAGAATTAGACAAAATCACAAATATTTAAAATATTAACATAAAAAATTAAAGATTGGACTGTGATACCATATTAAAAGTAATAAATATCGAAAGTAAACATTTGATAGCAACTATTAAAAATAAATTCCGTTTTAATATTAGCAAGTTGCCATGTCACACTCACGCAAAGTTTGTGATCACTCTTCTAGAGAACATCTCTCGCTTTTTAAGGGTTATTTAGTAGAGGAAAGAAATCATGTTACTTTTATTTAGATAGGTAGGGTGCAAGTCGAGATGCACCTCTCCGTGGTAATTTATGGGTTGACTAATGTAAAAAAAATTGCATCACAAATACCTTACACTGCTATGCCAAATCAAAGATGTCCCTTTTAAAAACATTTTTCTGGTCAGCTTACTTTTCTACCATTCTTTTTAATATGCCAACATTTTAAGTTTAAAAAAAAAACTTTTTCGGCCCCGACCTACTACACAGGAGGTCCTAGAAATGGAACGCTGGCTCCATACTACGCCATATTATGTTTTTTAGATGTATTCTTTATACTAACTATTATTATAACTTTATAATTATTGGACCCGGTACATCGGTATGGTAAATTTCTAGATGGAAAAAAATTTGTCCAAAGAGGCCCGCATGAACGAAAAATTCTACAAAATAATCTACATGTGTATTAGCGAGACTTATTGAAGACATCTGTCCCAAAGGCCCATAATATTTTGACGAATATTTAAGAAAGTCAAAGGTCTAAACGCTTAATCGTGATCAAAAAGATGCCTTAGTGCCTTAATTTCAAAGAATCGATATAGTTAAAACATTGTATCTTTGGTAAACATTTGTATTTAATCCTTTTTTTTCTTAAAACAAATAACAAATTTATTAAAAAAAGGTCAAAAAAGTCTTAATAATTTATTGGAGACCACATTATAATAATAATAATAATAATATCATATTATCATTGTATTATTAATGATACAATAATATAAAATATGAAGAATCTCATGTTGTTCCAATTTAATAAGTAGATATAACCAAAAAAATACAGGAGTAATGTGGTACCTACATTGCTTTTATCTACAACTGTTATATAATGACTATGATTTGTCACTCTTTGAAATGTCATAACTACCTGTATTACCGCACGTGTGTTAATAACATCTTAAATGCAATTAAGTTCAAAGTATACATTTATAACGTGAATACATTGGACATTTTAGGTTTTTATCCATACGACTCGTATGATACGAGTTTTGTTTCAGGAATGCAATCAAATTTACATATTTCTTGATGTCGAAATTCTGCAGATCTGCTTTATTAAAATTTTCATTTTTAACATCGAGTAATAGCACAAAAGAGATGAGTGCTTTTGTGTTTTACTTAATTTGTTTAAATATACTAATAATCCTTTTTCGCTTGTTATGTTGATTATCTTTTTTCACTGCACCACTTTTTGTACTTTTTGGTATTTCTTCTGTAATTTATCTGGCACAAGATTTAAAAGAATATAAGTTATAAGTTTCGTTATCAATATCAGATGGCAGATCATCGTTTGAACTTAATTTAAAATGTGCAATTTTCAGACACAACTTAAACAAGCAATTTAGTGACAATCATACCTATGCCTGTTGCTAAAGTAATACAAATTCCTTTATCTGTATTAAGAATTTAATTTTTAAACAAAATATTTTTACTCAAATAATTATTAAAATATTTATTATATTTATAGATGTAGATAAACTGTTTAATAAATAAAAACTTGTTTTGTAAACAATTATAGTGACAAAAACGCTTGCGCAAAAATATCTAAAACGTTTTTATTACTAAAATTAATTTTAATAAAAGGTTTATTGAACTAATCATGAGTATGCATTTAGTAGTTTTTTCATTCCCTTTCAGCCTGATGTACATATATTATAACGTGACAGGGTTAGTTTGATACAATTGCACTCAATATTTTAATCTGGTAATGGAGCTCGTTAGAGATACAAAGAACTGGTTATAAAAGGGAATGCATGAAAGTCCCGGTCATAACAATCAAATGCCGAATAAACGCAAAGATTTGATCATTCGAACCATTTGTGCCAATGGAGGCGTTTAACGTTCATACATTTCTTGGAAGACTTTATTATTGATTCCCCCAAGCAATGTGTTAAATTTAACGCATCCCAAACTCCAAGAAGATTTTATTAAATGCAATATTTTAAAATAGATCATCATTATGCTTTTATTGTTTAAAATCGTTTTATGACTAAAGTTTACTATAGCTTTAGCATACGATTTTTTAAGACTTATTTTTTTTATTTTATAGTCAATATGTCTTAGAGTGTTATAATTATCTCATTTCATATTTTATACTTTTCATATTTCATACTAACGTTATCTTAAAAAAATCATAACTTAGTAAAAGTGTTCCAAAAATCCCACCGCTTGCGAATTTTTAGTATTTTTTCTTCCATGTTACTCTGCATTAATTTTTTTTGAACTATTATTACGAGGAAACCGAAATAGTTATTTGTTTTACAAGGGTTGAAAAGCGACTTTTTCATGCGAGTGTTTAAGTTGCTCACGAGTGTGCATTAACACGAGCTTCAAGAAAGCTTTTCTCATAAGTAAAACACAATGTTTTTTCTACGACCCTTTTATTTTTTATTATTTTCAAATACAAAACAATATAACCTAAAAACGTGTTTGACAGCTGTTAAAATTACTTTCATCTTTAGTATTTTAATTTTTAAGGTATAATTACTTAAAATTAATAAACTTACCTTCTCAATTTAAATAAAGACCCTAAAATTAAAATTAATTATACAAAGACAATTAATTGTGTTCTAAATAATATTTGGGCGTTTCTCTGTAAACTGGGCAACTTGAAGTAAGAAATTGTCTAGGCAAGTTTTTTTGTTATATTTTTGTTGTATTTAATAAATGTTATTCGAGGAATAAATATCGGTCTATTTATTAGTATACGGCAGATGAACCAAAAATATTCCTATTACTTTGAAAAACATTGAGCATTTTCTAAAAAATCTATACAGGGGACTGTTTATAAAATCCGGAGACAAAGTTTAGATGACTTTTTTAGAATTACAAAATAATAATTATAAAAAATAAGTCACAGTAACAAGCAAACAATATTGGTTGAATAATTAAACAATTAGGTTGATTCCAATAGTTACTGTCTTTAATTAATTTAGTCTGAAGTGACCATTTTGCTTTGGTGACACGTCAGGGGACTGGTTTTTAAGGACTATAAAAACGATTTTGATACATTAAAGTTTATTTTATTGGATTTTGAACGTCGAGCATAGGTAGATTAGGTTATTATCTTATGAAGTTATCTACGAAATATTTATGATCTGTTATTTTTCTAAACAATATTAGCTTGAGACAATGAGTTGCCCAGTTTACAGAGAAACGCGTTTACAGAGAAACGCCCATTTATTCACAAATTCAAATACAATACAAATTTTGAAACGAATGTCAAACGATGCTGTCAATTTCTTTTCACACAGACCTGTCACTTTTCACACAGAAATGTCACTTTACATTTGTGTTTTGCCTTGCCAATGAAAAGATTTATTTTCTAAGCAACGACGCCATTACGAACTGTGACTTTTACATAGTGGTCGTAGAAAAAAATATTACAAACAAAAATAAAATTGATATATTTTAAAACATCCTCCCACTCATTGGCACTTTACAATCATTTGCGTACGTCATATAACTGAGGGTACAAAAAAGTTTTATGTTGTGTTTTTTTATGTGTTCAAGGTTATACGGGTGTCTTGGCGAGCCAACCGAAGAAGTGCAAAAAACGGAAAATATTGGAGCATTTTTTAATTCTTTTTTCGGTACAGAACAGAATATGCTAAATTCATGCCTATAAGCAGAATATGCTTTGATGCAAACAACCTTGATTTGGACTTTTTTAATTGCTCATTGGACGTATTCAAGAAACAATGTAATTATAAAATTAATTGTTATCCATCCTAATTGTAGACATTTGAATGTATTTTTTTGTAAGTGGTTTAATACCGTCAATAAAGTTATTATTATTATTATTATTATTATTATTATTATTATTATTATTATTATTATTATTGTTATTTTGACTATATTACTAAATATGGGAGATACTGCATTTTAGCCTTATAGGACAGTGTGATCATAGAAAAAGTATAGTACGTAACTCAAGTAAAGTACACGCGGCTCGTGTGTACATTTTCCCACCCCTTAATATGATATTTACAACTCTTGTCACGTAATATACCTACTATTATAAATTTTAAGATAATTGATACCTATATATTTTTCTATATATATATATTATATAATATGTTTAATTGTTTTTTAATTAACGATCAAAATTTTAAATATAAGTTTTAGGTGATTACGCGAAATAAATTATAATTAATAAATAATTTACGTCTTTGTTGATATCGAAAAAAGATATTACTGATGTATACATTAAATGTGAGATGATTATATTTGGAGCTGCTGTAGGTCCTAATTTAGAATACAAATAAAAAATACAAAGGTGTCCCAAATGTCTCTTGGATTTCTAGGGATTTGTAGATCACCCACCTTCAAGGTGGTGCGCGACTTCTGGGACACCCTGTATATTTTATTACTTTTAGAAAAAAGGAAGAAATTAGATACTGACAGAATATTACCCTAATTATTTTTATCAAAGTCACGTGGAGGGACTTTTGGGTGTGGTTCACCTGGGCACGTACCCGGTATATACCCGATTTATTAAAATTTTGATAAATACCCAAGGTATTTACTATGCAGTGGCGTGCTGGCAGTCCAATGCAGGCCTGGACTGGATAGTAGATCAGTCCAGACTCAAGCCAGTTTCATATACTTCCTATAGCTAGTAAAAAATGTAATACCTATAATTATTAATATTATTACGATGACACCTCGGCTGATAAAACGTCCCGAGATAACTCTCTTCGCAACAAGGAACTTTTTTCAGGTAGTTTATCAACTATTATGTCACTGTCTAAGCATGAAAGCTTCCAAATTTGCGTCACTAAGTGTACTTCTTAAACGATTTTTTATAAATTTTAATGACATTAATTATTATAATATTATAATTATAACCGAACACTAAAGGCACATACCCGATTTGAAACGCGGTTAGAGATTTGTTTTTTATATATTATACCCACAATCTTTACAAAAAAAAGTCAATCTCTTTAGAATGCGAAGTTCGCATTGCGAACAAAAATCACCTGCTTTGCGCACTGTGAGCAATCTTTGATTTAGGTATTTGCCGCGTTAATTTAAATCCCCCGAAATAGGCAGTAGTTTTTTTTGGTTTATGGTAGGTTCTGTATAATAAATGCAGGCATGTAAGAAATAAAAATAGTCGTTTTAAGTTCTAAAGTAAACGCAAATGTTTTTAAATATAAGATTTAACAGTTTTAAAGCAAACGCATATGTTTTTAAACAATATTTGCATCTGTCAATGAAATTATGAATAAAATTTGCTATAAATTGTAATAAAGCCAGATTGTCAAATTCAATGTTCTTTAATGTGTAATTTCGTTGTTCGTAGTATACATTAATAATTAATGATTAATTATGCCCAAGCTTTGTTAAAATTTGTCATTGTAAAAGGGAAGAGAAGCAGTCCAGCAGGCCACCAAGTGGTGCAGGCCACCGGGCATTCGCCCGGTGTC